CCTTGAAGCCATCACTGACACAAAGAAAAAAGCACTCCCTTTCCAAACCCCCCCTCCCTGCTCAAAGGTGATCCCCAGCCCCAGCATCCGGCAACTCAGGAAGTCAGCAGTGGATGCACCCGAGCATCAGAGGCACAGAGACTCCCCCACTGAGATGACAGTTAGGCACATTGTTACCCAGTAGGTGCATCTACACAAGGCACTTACTGCACATTAGCCTAATAATATTGTGCAGCAGCGTGCCAGTTAAAACCATGCTAACAGCCTACTGCACAGTGTTATTAGGCTAATGCACAGTCACAAAATAACCATGCACCAGCACTACTGTGCAGTAACTCCAGTTACTGCACATTTAGTTACTACTTCATTAAACAAGTAGTCAACTAAATGGGCAGTAAGGAAGGCACGGTGCTGACCATGCAGATGCACCCAGTGCTGTCAGGGTCCAGACAGTTGCAGAGGGGTGTGAGTTACAGGAGGCAGCAGCAGAGAGTCATCTACAGTCTGGACCTGGGGCCCCTGGTTGGATCTAACTCTTGCTGCCAAAAGGCTTGTTTCATCCAATGCATATTTGACCTTGCAAAGTTTTGCCTTGTTCAAGGTGTAGAGCACTGAACATGCAAAACAGCTCCACCTGGGCCTGCCCACAGGAGAACAAGAAGGAACAAGTGGGGCTGGAAGAGACCTCCAGAGGTCAGAGTCCCAACCCCCAGGCAGGAGGGACCCTTCCTACCCCTACCCAAACAGCCTGGGGGCACATCTCCTTTCCTGCGGCTTCCTGGTTCCTCCCTGCCCAGCAGGGGTAGGAATAGGGTACCCACTACCCACCTCCCCCACTCCACGGAAGCCCCGCCCCGAGCTGCTGTGGCGGCGGCGGCAGCAGCAGTACAAGGGCTCGGGGCCGCCCCCGGCCGGTACCTGTTGTGCCTTTGCGCCGCCGAGGCGCTGGCGTAGTAGGCCGCTCTCCGCTGGGCGCTGCCCGGCACCCGGCGCAGCGGGATCTGGTCCGCCATCTTGCGCTCCCGCCCCGCCCCGCCGGGGCCCGGAACCGGCTTGCCAACCGCCGCCC